CGGAAAAAAAAAAAAAAAAAAAAAAGATAGGGATTATAATAGTCTGTACTTCACAGGGTTGTTGAGAGGATTGGATGAGATGATGCATGGAAAGAATTTACCATAGTTCTAGGCAGATAGTATATTAGCTACCCTCACTATCATTACCACTGGGCTCATGTATTGTACAAATTCTGTTTATTCTCTTTAAAACAAAGCATAATCAAGGCTTTCTGGCCATTGATCACTGACCCAGCAAGAGTTTGGGCTTTAAGGACCTGGGAGAACATGCTGAACAAGACAGGCAAGGTCTCTGCCCTCCCTGAGGGTTTTTTTTTTTTTTTTCCCTTGGCTGCGAGGCTTGCGGGGTCTTAGTTCCCCAACCAGGGATTGAACCCATGTACCCTGTAGAGGAGGTGCAGAGTCCTAACCGCTGGACTGCCAGGGAATTTCCAGCAGAGGTGTTCTTAACTCTATGCAAAATGTTCATCTCTGAACATTTATTACTTAGTAACTCAGGTTGCCTCACAGTGATGGTCCCCACCCAGAAAATGAAAGAGTTTATAGCAAGGGGTGGTGTGGTGGTGGGGTGAAGGGCAGCTATGGAGCTGCTGGCAGAAGAATTTCACCCAACACCCTTGAGTGGGCCCTGCAGAAGGACTTCTGGCCTCTAGGGGGTGAGAACAATAAGTCTAACCATGTCAGGTAGGCACCAGGCCCTAAGTTCAATGTTGCCCCAGCGGTTAAGATCTCCCACAGTAGGTGGGGACAGCCACTGAGCTTCTGCAAGTGCCCCCCCCCCCATTTCATCCTCCTTCGTGCATCCAGGTCTCACACTAAACACAACCACGAGGCTGTGAAGGCTGGCCAAGGACGGGGCCCCAGTCTGAGCCACTCACCAGAGGAAAGTCATCTGGGTCGATCCATACAATGCTCAGGTCAGGGTTGTCCGTGTTGTCCCGAGCAACCTGCTTCAGGATCTCCAGGAACTCATAGCCATCTGAAGCAGGATTCAAGAAGGTTGAGTAAGCCCTGCGCATATATGGCTTCTAATGTGGAGAGCAGAGTGCCCTTTTTCCACAAGCGTTTCTTAGGCCATTTGGTGCATACCCTCAATTATAGGATTATTCTATAAAATGAGTCAGATGAGAACTTCAGCCACAAAGCAGCTTATTCAAAGGAAACAATAAACATATGGAGAACAGTATGGAGGTTCCTTAAAAAACTACAAATAGAACTACCGTATGACCCAGCAATCCCACTACTGGGCATATACCCCGAGAAAACCATAATTCAAAAAGAGTCATGTACCAAAATGTTCACTGCAGCTCTATTTACAATAGCCCGGAGATGGAAACAACCTAAGTGCCCATCATCGGATGAATGGATAAAGAAGATGTGGCACATATATACAATGGGATATTACTCAGCCATAAAAAGAAACGAAATTGAGCTATTTGTGATGAGGTGGATAGACCTAGAGTCTGTCATACAGAGTGAAGTAAGTCAGAAAGAAAAAGACAAATACCGTATGCTAACACATATATATGGAATTTAAGAAAAAAAAATGTCATGAAGAACCTAGGGGTAAGACAGGAATAAAGACACAGACCTACTGGAGAATGGACTTGAGGATATGGGGAGGGGGAAGGGTAAGCTGTGACAAAGCGAGAGAGAGGCATGGACATATATACACTACCAAATGTAAGGTAGATAGCTAGTGGGAAGCAGCCACATAGCACAGGGTTATCTTTGTGACTGCCTGGAGGAGTGGGATAGGGAGGGTGGGAGGGAGGGAGACGCTAGAGGGAAGAGATATGGGAACATATGTATATGTATAACTGATTTACTTTGTTATAAAGCAGAAGCTAACACACTATTGTAAAGCAATTATACCCCAATAAAGATGTTAAAAAAATAAAAAATTAAAATTAAAAAAAAAAGGAAACAATAAACATTTTGAATGAAGAAATTGAAAGTGTCACAGGGAAGTGTCTGGTTGTAACTGAAAGCTAAGTTCCATTTGCTAAATTGCATGTGAAAATTGACCAGCCTTGTGTCAGCAAGTGCAACCACAGAACAGAGAAACTCCTGTCTGGCCCTCAGTGCTCTGTGCCATCTCTTAAAACTGATAATTTACTGATACTATCCCTAAGAGTGCCCCATAGCATTTGCTCTATGGAGCAAGAATGTTTAGCCTGGATCCTTAGTTTTCTACAACCTGGAGTTCCTATAACCTTCAGACTAAGTGGGCTTCTGACTGACAGTTGGGTTTCAAAGCTTTGAGATAGTAAATAGGGTTCCCTCCCCTCGTCACCATTTCTCTGCATGCTCTGCCATCCCTTTATTCAATTCGAAGCATTCATTGCCCCCCAGGGGAGGGATGATTCATAAGAAAAGCAGAGACAAGCCTCAAAAGACAAACTCATAGCTTCAAGAGCACAGAAAGCCTAAATCTTGAAGAAATGAGAAAGATGAACTTTATATCATAGACAAAAATTTTGGAAGAATGTTTAGTAAGAGAAAGGATAGCCTAAACCCTCAGCGTCTCTGCCCCACTCCCAGCTAGAAACAGAGTTTAGATTCTGGCAAGTCCCTGAGAATAAGCTCTGTGCCTGTGTGTATGTGTTTGTGTGTACATGTGCAGGTGCGTGAAAGCAAGCCCATGTGTCCATGTAGAGAAACTCCACAGTTTCAGGGAGTCCCAGAGTATAGGGGATTCGTGCTTTGTTTTAAAACTCATGGAAATGGAAAGACCTCAGATTCTCTTGGCGAATCCTCTGGTGCAGGAACACTGGGGCAGAGAAGAGTGTGAGGAGGCCCCACTGAGTTCTCTGTGGTTTTGAGGAACACGGACGAGGCTAGTGGAGGGGGCAGATCTGACGAAGTCCAGGGGTTGGGATGAAGGGGGCCAGTGGTGACCCTGGCATAAAGCTAGAGTCCAGACAGAACGACAGACTTCTCTGCAGATGCCAGCATGGATAGGTGATGATGATAACTCTGACCAGATGCACACTTCACACATCATACCTGAGAACCAGCAAGACGCCGGATCCCCAGGGACGGTGGGTGGGGGAGGGGAGACCATTCATTGTCAGACCCAGTTTCCACCATCCAGTGGTAAAATTTAGGTTCAGTTCTAGAAAATAAAGTTGTATCTCTTGCATAGATGAATTTGCGGCCTGAAATTTACCTTCTATACAAGCAACTAACTCACCCACTACTTAGAAATTCAGTACGGCAACTGCTCTTTCTTTGTAAAAGCTTCCTTCTTTTGATAGGGGCCCCAGCCATTCTAAGCCCCTCTCTGTGGCCTCTGTTGAACACACCTCTCCTCTCTCCAGGCACCCTAGCCTTTGTTTGGCTACCTGGGGCCTCTGCACTTCCTCATATTTAACATATTCTAGGCAAAATGCACACTCTTCTTAGGAGCTCTGCTTTGAGTGGCTGTAGAGTCTTTTTAACTGTAGCTAAATCACACTGAAGATTCCGACTAGGCCCCCTCGGGCCTTGTTACCTGGAAGGCAGAGCTACCCTGCTAGTAGAGGAGAGGGTCGTTATGGCCTGCAGCCCTCTCCAGCAGAGATCCGGGTGGCCTAGGTGATTTTTCCAACTATGCTCTGAACTACATGACAAACTAGATTGTATGACAGACACTTGAGATGGATGGGGCCTTGTGTTTCAGCGCCCATTATCTATTACTGTAGGGGTTGGGGTGGAGATGGGGGTGGAGGTAGGGATACTCTTCTTGCTGCCTGATGTGTGGCCGAGAAAGTCAAGTCCCTCCAGAGTGCCACTGGCTGCTGCTACTTGGACACTATGGATCTTCCTTCTCTGGGTGTGTCGCCGTGTCACAGGACAGGGACTATGGTGCCACCTGGGTTATCTGTGGATTTAAGTATCATTATACACAGACTGCAACAGGGGATTTCTCCTCGACAGCTTCAGTGACTGCTTCCATCAGCCGAGAAGGGATGAATGGCAATAAATAAGGTGACGTTGCCAGTGCTCTGGAAGACGAGAATCACATGTGACAAATCAGAAATGCACAAAGAGGATGGAGCTCAACCACACAGACCCGAATTCAGGTAGAAAGTAAAACTGAAGTGCAAAAGACTAACTCACATACAGGGAAGGCGGACACTGTCTAGGCACAGTGTTGTAGAGGGAGAAGATCTGAACGGAAGCCGAACACACAAGGTGGCGCTGTGGTTTTCTGACGGCAAAACCCACGTAACGGGATCTATGAATAAGAATGTGCATACGGGGATCGTTTCTATGTTTTAGAGCAGGTTTGGAGATAAAAGGAGAAAGATTGAAGGCACAAAAACTGGGTCCTGCAAGAAAAATCAAATGGACTGGAGTTTTTACATAAACAAGAGAAGTCAAAATTGTGGCTTAATGCCTGCTTTCAAGAATACAAAAAGTTTTCGTGAGGAGGATGTTCTTTGTGTCTATGGAGGAGCAAAGCTCAAAAGACATGCCCAGAATAAATTAATAATTGAGTTGACAAAAGCTGGGGAAGTTTCTTCCGGAGTCAAGGGCAGCTTTTCGGTGTTCAGGATGATAGATTTTATAATGGGCATAATCCTTCTGCATCCCTGAATATTTCCAAGAACAGAACGGAACCTGTTCTTTAGGGAGGGAGCCCAGCATGATGTTTAAACACAAGGACACTTGGGGCAAACAGTCCAAATCCTGGGTCTGCCGTTTAGAGTGTGACTTAGGGCAAGTTATTTAATGTCTTGGTTTCTCAACTGTAAAACGGGGATGATAATAATAGTACCTATTTCATAGAATGACTGTTAGTTAAATGTGTTAGTGTCTCTATGGCACTTAGATGGTGCCTGGCACATAGTAAGGTTTAGCCATTATTCTTCTGAAATGCTCTGACATTCTTCTGCTTGAATACAAGGAACCTGGCCACTCATCTCTTCGTTCAATGCATATGTCTTAAGTGCAACGATCTGGGCACAAGGGGGCGGTTAGACACAGTCTCGGCCCCGTGTGTCAGAGAAGACATACTCCCAGGCAGTTACACTAGGAGGTGGTGTATCATGGAGCTATTCCTTCCAGCCCCTGTTGCTGACTCAGTGACTGAAGTCTGCAGGGGTGGCTGTACCAGGCGGTATGACTATGAGTACCTCGCCTCGGTACGTGGTTAAAGCACGGTTTAATTACTTTGTTTTAAAGTCATTAAGCTAATTTGGATATTCCTGATCCAAGGTTCACAAGCCCCATACCTTTCTCCCCATTATTCCCCAGCCTTGAATATAGACCTGTTGGAATGGATTCTCATTCATCTGGGAAAGCGGAATTAAGGCAATCACACTGGCCTCACATGGATTCAGTCGCTAACATTTTAAGTTAGAAGTTCAGTTTCCTCTTAGGGACAGTAACTATTTCTTTGTAAAACAGGTGAGCTGGAAAAGGGACACGTCCACTGTGGACCCTCCCTTTTTGACCAGGAAGGCAGGTGTAGGAAGCCACATTTCGCTTTTGTAATTCAATGTGAAGCAGAAGACACTTCACAGTTGCAATTATATGAATGAATGAATGAGTTTGAAATTAACGACTGTTTCCTTTATCAGTGATATACCCAGCTAAGAGGCCTTTAAAGATTGTGGCCATGTAGCTCTCAAAAGGAATAGCCCATAATTTTTTTCAGAGGTAGGTTAAGAAAAAAGAGGAAATATTATTTTGAAATTCGTAGGCTAGCAGTTATTTCACCATTGAAACTAGAGGACAATTCTCTGCAGTCATTAGTTAGAGAAGCAGCCATTTTCAAAGCCAGAAGGGACTCCCAAACATCCCACAGATTCAGGCAGGTGTATAGCCCCACCCAGAACATTTGTCTGTCTTCTCTCTTGAATGTTTCCAGGCCTGAGCCCCTCGGACCTCCCTAAAGGTCCACTGTCGAGTCAATAACCCAGACAGACAAGAGTCGTTCCTTTATGAGCACAGGACATTGTTCTTTACATGCAGGAAGTCTGCGATCAT